GCTCTCTGACAGACTTCCCATGTAGAAGTGCAAAGCTCCTCACAGTCTTGTGTACTCTGTGCATTACATCTTGCTGTGACAAGATGCTCCATCTGAGTGGTTTCTATAAACAAACACACCTGTAATGCAAACTTGAAATGTGCCTGCCACAAAACTGGGAAATTTAAGACCAGAAAGTTAAGCACAGATAGAAAGTGAAACGTGGGACTGGGTGGGGTGGAGAGAGCTAGGGGACTGGGAAGTCAAAGTTGGTAATACCAGTACAAATAACTAAACGCAAGCATCCGGATCTCGGCTGTATTGAGAACACACTCATTATCATGGGCATGCGTACATCCTCAGCTGTATTGAGAACACACTCAGTATCATGGGCATGCGTACATCCTTGATTCTCGTGATGATGGACATGCACACACCCTTGATTGTCATTATAATGGACATGCGCACATCCTTGATTCTCAGGATGATGGACATGAGCACAACCCTGATTGTCATTATCATGGACATGTGCACATCCTTGATTCTCATTATGATGAACATGCGCACACCCATGATTCTCATGATGATGGACATGCACATACCCTTGATTTCACATTACCTTTATGGTTTGTCTTAAATGTTGGATACAGATACTGTTTGACTTCCTTGAGGTCACACAACTGATGAGAAGACTAAGGAATTTAATCTAGCTTCTGACAATAGAATTATTCTTATATTCCATTTGTAGTCAAATGCAATGCTTGAAGCAATTTTGACAGAAAACAGAAATATGGAGGTGTTAGGTCTTTAAGTCTTGAAACATCTTTATTTTTCTGCTTCAACTAGAGTATAAAGGCATTAAGAAATACACTTAGAAACTTGACTGTGTTATGTACTATAATAATTTTAATATTTAGATTATGAATCTTCCTTTTTCATAGAGCTCTAAATAGCTTGGGCATAAAGAATGTTCTTCCCTAGACTGAGCATAGAAAGAGATTGAGAAGATGAGGAAGACAAAGAGGAGGAGGAGAAAGGGCAGCGAAAACAGAGAGGGAAGAGCAAAAGTCAAAGTCAATCTGTGAAGTGGGAGTAAAGCTGAGCTAAGACCAGAAAGCACTTGATGCTGAGATAGCGGCTTCCCAGACTCATCTCTAAATCCAGCACTTTTCAGCTTTGTAATTCCCATAAATCACTGAGGAGAACTTTGTTGTGCTGTGTATCCTGGATTTTAGAGGCTCTTCATCCCTGTGTTTTACTGGATGGGCCGTGCTGCTGAAGAGCAGGGAGGCAGGAACATATCAAGGAGGTGCAGGTTACCTAGTCCTCAGAGTCTGAAGCTACTGGTGTTTTCAGGTGACAGTATCATCTGACAGGGAAATCCTGCTCCAAAACTCCTTCTTTGCTCCTTTCTTCACAAAACTCATGATCTGTCCTTTTTAGACATAAGCTTCCCTATAAATTTTTAGATCAATTTACACAGTTCAAACACTGTGAGATGCCTAACCCAAAGTAACACATCTATAATGGCGCCTCTACACCTAAGGCTCAGAAGAGAGTGGAACAGGAGGTAGAGAGAATACAAATGCATCTCTCAACTCTGACCAGTGAAGCTGCCTCATACAACAAAGGGTGATTAACACAGAAGGCCACAACTGGCCAAAGAATAGAGAATAAAAGACTGTAGAGTATGTGTCTCTGGACAGGATTCATATTAAAACTCTTCCCCTTAGAGCTCAAGAACCATTGTGGAAGAGGGGACAGAAAGATTGTAGAAGCCAGGGGTGGTACATAATCTTAAGGAAACAGAGTCTTCCAGCCTTCTGGGAAGTTACTCATATGAACTTACAGCAATGGTAAAAGCATGCACAAGATCCATGCAAACTCTATCAGACAAAAGACAGCATAGAGCTGGGGAAATGAGCAGGAGGTTCCAACCTTAGTAGAGGAACTATTGGCAACTGATCACTACTGAGTGAGAGTTGGTCTTCTTTAAAGGAGTGATGCTAGATAGACTGAACAGGCTGCAGTGGATTAACGCATAGTGGGGGACTTCTGTGGACACAAATTTAACTAGGCCTTAACGTGGATGACAGAATGCATGAAATCCAGTGGGGGGAACTATGGAGAGGTACAGCTAGAGGAGAGTGTCTAAATATGACTGAGATGTATGAAGTGCACAAAAATTCAATAAATATATACATATTAAAAGTTTTCTGGGGTTTGTATTTAAAGTAAAAAATAAATGTATCTGGTTTGAGAAACTTTTTGAGATTTTGGAATTGTGAATTCTATGGTGATTTACATTCATTATATCTATAAACAGCATCAACAGTTGATATTGAGAAACAGATTTCATCACCACTTCCTTCCCACATACACACATTTGCTTACATGATTTAGTGCATGAAACCAGACCTGAGATGGGGTAGCTCTATGCATCACTGTGCAGTTTTTATCTTAAGAAGCACATTTCTCAGCAGGTTCTGTTAGGGTTGTAGTTCTCCATGTCCAGATAGCCCTGAGGGGCTCGGCGCCAAATGGAAGGACTCCCCTTTTCAGCAGGGGGCCTCCTGCTCTCTTCCTGGCTCACCTGGAAAGTGCCACCAAGCATGGATGCCTGACCTTACCTGGAACATGACCTTTGGCACAGTTACCTGGAGTAAAAACTACCCCCAGGTTTTTTCTATATGATAATCAGGCATTGCCTGATAGTCTGGAAGATAGGAGCCCACTGCCACATGTAAATAAAGCACACTATGAGCACCTATCAACTGAGGCTTCTGCTACTGCCTCCACACTATAAATTCTCTAGTTCTCCAACTGAATAAACAGAGCTGTTTCACTGTGTCTGGGGCTGTATCACTGCTGTTTCACTGCACCTGGGACCAGCTTCCCCGGAAGGGCTTTCTTCCATCAGTGCTCACTGGCCATCCTGACCCCATTCGTCGCTTCTGCTCCCTTTGTCCTCATGGATTGGTGGCCAACAGCCCTCGAGGGGAGGGAGAGACCCACACTCCAAGAGCCCTCTGAGGCTGCAGTCCCTGTCTGTTCCACCCCTATACCTTAATCCAACAGAGTGCTGGGCTCCCCATACCTCTGATTGCCTCCACTGTTCAATTCACAGTGCTACAGTTAGGGGAAAATTCTAAATATAATCCTATAATTCTGATGCTATCTAATTACAGAATATCAGAATGCAACAGGAAGCCAGAGGTAAATGGGGTTATTGAAAAAAAATAAAAGCAAAGAAGCTCCAAGAAGCCATTATGTATATTTATAATACATTTGCTACACTTTAGGGTGCTAAGAAATATAATCATTTAATTCAGAAGATAAATATCTCTTTTCATAGTGCTTGGAATAATTGGCTGTTTCCTCCAAACCTTCTGTAAGTATTGATAAATATATTAGACAGAATCCAAGAGCAGAGAATGGATGGCAGGCTCTCTAAAGGTACGTTTATTCATGTTAAAATCTAAACAGCTCACCTACTGAAACTTGTATAAGTCTGTGTACATATCACCTCATTATTTTCTTCCAGTTATCTTAGTACTTCACTGGAAGGAGAGGACAGAGGCATACAACTGGTGAGAAAGCAGGAAAATGAGCAGAGACCAAAGGATAGGTGTTGAGATTTGATCCTAAATTGTCTGACTGTTGGTCCAAGTCCTTCCCATTAAAATACACCTTCTCTGAAACATCCATTGCAAGTAGTAGAAAATTATATATTAATTGAAAAATTGAATAGGAACATAGAAATGTTAATTACCCTTATTTTGTCATTACACGTTGTATAAATTTATAATCACATAACCCATAAATATGCATCATTAAAATAATTATCAGTAGTAAAAGAAACTTAACCTTCTAAAACATGAACGAAAGAAATACAAAGCATAGTCATGTACATTCTAGCTGACTGTCAAATTAAAATGAGAGGGCTGGTGAGATGCTTTCCACATAATCATGAAGCCCTGAGCTCAGATCCCCAGCACCTATGTAAAAACTAGGCATGGCAGTGCATGCCTGTAACCCCAGCAATAAATGGGGAGGGGCAGATTCTTGGGGCTCACTGGCCCCTCAGTTTAGCCAACTGGTGAGTGTGTGGATAGTTTCACTTGCTAATTTGACACACCTGAGAAGAGGGAAGCGGTTGGGGAATTTCCTCTACTAGATGGCCCGTGGCCATGTCTGAGAGGCATTTTCTTGATTGTTGAGTGATGAGAGAGGCCTCAGCCCACTGCAGGTGGTGCCACCCCTGGGTAGGTGGTACTGAGTTGTATATGAAAGCAGGCTGGGCACAGGCCAGAGAAGCAAACCAGTAAGCAGTGTTCCTCCATGGTCTATGCTTCAGTTCCTGCCCTGTTTAAATTCCTACCTTGGATTCCCTCAGTGATGGACTGCCATTTGGAAAAAAAGTAAGATAAAATAAACCCTCTCCTCCCCAAGTTGTTTTTGGTCAGTGTTTTATCACAGTAATAAAAAGTAACTACGACAGTTAGCTCTACATTCAGTGAGAGATCTGTCACAAAAATAAGATGGGAAGCAGTAGCCAAAGTCCACTTCTGGCCTCCACATGTACACCCAGAGACAAGTGTACCCAGACATATATGTACACACTGTACACCACACACACACAAAGTAATAAATAATAAAAAGCAAAATATATAAAATAATAAAAATGCAAGTGTAATGCTTATACTAAATTTAATCGTGAATGGATTTTTCTAGCAGAAAAGAACAGGGGGAGAAAGTTTACCACATTTGGCTGTGTGTTTTGATCTTCTATTTTAAACCACATCAAGAAGCTAATTCAAAAAGCACCTAAATGTCCTGTGTTCTGTTCCTCAACAGATCATCCTCCTGGATGAAACATTTCCAATTTCTTTTTTTTATAAGTTCTCCTAGTAACAGAAAAATTCCCACTGTTCTTGGGAGGAGAGAACTGAAATACTTTAGGTTTCAAAAGTCATGATGGCATTTAGACTCAAGAGAAGGTATATCCCTTACTTACCTGCCTACTTCCTACTCACACGGAAAGACCAAGGGTAAAGTTTGTCCAGTATTTTCCAGAGAGCACTTTTCACTTCTTTGTTCCTCAGACTGTAGATCAAGGGGTTCAGCATGGGAATCACTACAATGTAGAACACAGATGTTACTTTGTCAGTGTCCATGGACTGACCAGAGCTGGGCTGCAGGTACATGAAGATGATTGTGCCATAAAAGATGGACACTGCAGTAAGGTGAGAGGCACAGGTGGAAAAGGCCTTCTCCCATCCCTCAGAAGACTGTATGATTTGAACGGCAATATATATGAAGACATAAGAAATGAGAATGATCGAGGCTGGAGAGATGGCTCAGCAGTTAAGAACACTGGTTGTTCTTGCAGAAGACACAGGTTTGAATCCCAGCACCCACATGGCTGCTAACAACTGTTCATAAGTCCAGTCCCAGGGGATCTGACAGCCTCTTCTGATCTCTCGGGGCATTGCATGACATGGGTGCACTTACCTACTTGCAGGCAATACATGCGTACATATAAAATAAAAATAATAAATTTTTTTTAAAAAGAGAATGATCAAGAGGGTGAAAAAGACATTGAAGCCCACAACAACAGCAAAAAAAAAAAAACTTGCTGATATGTGTGTTGGAACATGCAAGAGCCAGAAGTGGGGGACTGCCACAGAAAAAGTAGTTGATTTTGTTAAAACCACAGAAAGAGAGTCTAAAGGTGTCTGCTGCGTGGATTTAGGCATTGAGGAAGCCACAGACATAGGAGCCAATGGTTAGCCCTGTACACACACCTGCTGTCATGGTGGTAGTGTAATGAAGATGCCTACAAACTGCTGCATGGCAGTCATAAGCCATGGAGGTCAGGGGGTAGCACTCAAGAGTAGCAAAACCCACAAAGAAGAAGAACTGGGCTGCACATCCTTTAGAGGAAATTATCTTGTTCCCAGACTACAGTGCAGCCACCATCTTAGGAGCTACAGCTGATGAGTAACCCAGATCAACAAGGAGAGGTTACTCAGGAAGAAGTAGATCAGAGTGTGGAGATGGGAATCTAAGCAGATAATCACCATCAGCCCTCCATTTCTACCCAAAGTGATGAAGTAAATAAATAAAAATATCAAGAGGAGAGGAACCTGAATAGTTGGATCATCTGTCAGCCCCAGGAGGATGAACTGTGTTACTTCTGTGCTGTTCTCCATTAAAGTCAGCTTGAATTTCACCTGATGATTAAAGAGACTAATCCATGACACTATAGAGAGTTTTGTGATGATATTAAAATGAACCATTAACATATAACTGAAAAATGTTCCAAGTAAGACATATGTTCCACCTTCCAGTTTACTATACTATTTAATACTTTTGGATAAGTGCTTCATGCCCATTTTATAGATGAGGAAGCTAACAATTCAGCAATATTAAGCAAGACTACTTAATTAATAGAAATCAAAGTCAAACTCAATCGAATTTAAAGCCCATACAAATATAAATTATGATGTGGTTGTGTCTGGCAATATAATTTTTAAGACTGTACTCAATTTTTAACAGTCAAAAAGAGAAAACTGAAAAGTAAAAAGTATAAATTCATCCTTCTTTGTCTTCCTAATCCTTTAACAATATGGCCCTAATAAAGAGTTCCTGAAATTTTCTATACATCTGTAATTAAATAGTATTAATTATGGAAATCAATATAGCTTTCTTTCTGCCATATACTTCTCCAAAGGCTCTACTTGAATTTAATACAATGAATCCTAATACCAACATTTTGGAATTGATTCTATTGTTTTTCTCATTTAAAAAATATTTTTATTTTATGTGTATGAGTGTTTTGCCTGCATGTATACAAATGCACCTACTCCATGCAATGCCCATGCAGGCCAGAAGAAGGCCTCAGAGCCTCTGGAACTGCAGTTATGGACATTGATAGCTGCCATGTGGGTGCTGAGAAACAAACCTATGTCCTCTGCAAGAGCTGCCAGTGCTTTTTACCTCTGAGTCATCTCTTCAGCTCCCTGTTTTTCTTATTTTACACAAGGAAAAGCTGCATATATGATAATACTCCACTTAATTTGCAATTTTTATTTTGCTGTTATAAACAGTTCTCCATAATTTAAAACATGCAGAGCACTTTCCTTCTTAAGTTTATTTCCAATGGCAGTATACTTTATGCCTAGTCTCTTAGCTAAATTAAATTACTATTATTATTATTATTACTATTATTATTATTATTCATAGTCTCTTAACTAAATTAAATAACTATTAAGTAAGTGCTGGAGACAGAATTAAAACCTTGATTAAGTTCACACTAAATCTCGAGATTTTAAATATAGCTTCTAGTTTCTTTGTGTGTTTATTCCCAAAACACAACACAGCTGAAAGAAGATAAAGTATTTATAGCATATATGTTTAATACATAGATGGAAATTTAGTAGTTATGAGTGCAAGACTGTGTCTATCTAAATTTTTACATATATACAGAAGTCTTTGCTATTTACCCTGGTTACAGTTACATCTTCCTTTCTTAGTACCTTTAGAGCACTTGAGTCTTAATTATCACACATTTGGGTAGACAGCCTCTCAGACCCTCAACTTGTTTTAAGACCCTAGGAATGGTAATGGCATTTATTCATTCTTGGCTCACTTACCCAGCCTACCAGGGCCCCTTGCACACATAAAATAAATATTTGGTGAATTGAATAGAACATCAGTGCCAAGGTATTGAGATATTTTTTCATGCTATTTAATTCTACAACAGGCTATTGTCCTCTTGTCTAACTGGGTCCACATTTCCTGCCAAAGATTAGCTTAGACTTCTGGTATGAAAGAAATTCAGAACTGACAAAGTGTTTGGAGAAAGTCAGGCCTGGAGAAAGGCTTGTGTCCTTTTTTGGACCATACCCCCTCCCTCCAGTTATTTTTCCTCAGCTGGGAGCATTTGCTCCATATGCCCCTACTTGAAGAGTGGGTAGAAGCAGGTTAAGGTGAGAGAAAATAAAAAATGTGCAAAGAGATGAGGGAGAGAGAGAGAGAGAGAGAGAGAGAGAGAAAGAGAGAGAAAGAGAAACAGGAATTAAAAGGAAAAAAATGCTTTAGCTTGGCCTCAAGGTGCCTTAAAAAAGCAGCTACAGGTAACAGTTTGCTAAGGAGTCCCTTTTTATAACACAAAAAGAGAAGGACATTAGCCAGTCCATCCTCTTTGGATGATCATGCAAGCAGTATGGCTGTCACAAGAACTGATTCAACCAGCGTGGGACACCTTTATAAGCAATACTCCAGGAACGCCCTCACCAATGTCTTCTTATGCCTCTCTATATTCTTTTAGAACAAATTCCTAGTCTCATATATTTCAAAGTTTATTTTTATATTCAGTAATGTTCTAATTAATCCTCCAAACAGCAACATATTCCATTAAATTTACCCAGCCTTTTTTTACTTTTTTTCATTTGACTTCTGACACATTTGTGCACTCTCAAATTTAGCAGACACAGTGCTCTGTCATATACAATAGGCAGTGTCCTGATGTTACATATTAGGAAAACGAAGTATTTGGTACCCTTTAGGATACATAACTGCTTAATTTTACAAGAATATATTTTTCCAGAGCCAAAGTTCTCAGTGTCAACATTATCACCATGATGGGCTGCAAAGGTGCTATCCAGTTTGCTACAAAACATCCAGCAGTTTCTCTGGCCTCTACCCACTAGATGGATTCTAGAACATGCCCTTCCCAATTTTTTTACCAAAGATATATTAATGGAAAATCACTTCTGATGTCTCCTCAAGAATATTGCCCCTACTAGAGAGTCCAACTTTTAGTGTTTATTTTTTAAAAATAGTCCTAGAGTTTA